TTGGAGGACGGACAAGCTATTCTACACCACCATCTCTTCCTCCTCCCTTCTCCCCCCCCTCCCTCCCACCACTACCTCCTCCTCCATCTCCTCCTTCTCTTCCTCCTTATAGTCAGCAGGAGTAGCATCATTCTCACCCCTCCTCGCCCCTACCCCGCGCATTCTCTTGCTCCTCCGAACCAACACCTCTTCTTCATACAGACCTGTCTCAGCGCCTGGAAATATCTGTGCTCGACATCCGCAGAGGAGGCATCAGGATTCTCTTCGGACATGCTAACTTGCATGCTGTCCTCTGCTCTCTTCGCTGCAAAGTGCGCGGCCTGTCTTCCAGCTCACACGCTTCACCCCTCCTCCTCCTCCTCCTCCTCCTCCCTCCTCCTTCCTCCTCCTCCTCCTCCTCCTTCTAACCAATTTCTTCTGCAGCTCGGCGTTCTTGTGCAACAATTCTTCCCTTAGCTTCTGGGCAGCTGAAAACTTCTTTCCTATCTCCAACCTCTCCTGCGCTCTGATCGTCAACGAGACAGCAGACGAGCAGGAGGGAACAGAACCTTGATGCGTTGCTCCCTCGCTTCCTGTTCCAACCGCATCCTCTCTTCTCTGGCCTTCATCTCAGCCATCTGAGGAGAAAGTCAGGAGGGGAGGCCCAGGAACTCGCAGCAGCCGTACCCTCAACATCTCCTCCTCGTCGTAACTCTCAGAGAAAGTCGATTTCGACTCTCCGAACTCTTCTTGGCGCGAGGTCAGCGTCGCTTCCTTCATGTCCTCGAGCTCCACGTGACTGTCCTCCGTGCCCATACTGATCTGACTCATCGTCACCTGCTCCCCCGTCACTCTCCCTTCACCACAGCACAAGCTCAGCACGTCTCTCTGCGAGTCCGCGAACGGATCTTCCTCCCCCATCATGATGCGCTTGACCCGCGACCTCGACATGCTCCCTCTCGCCTACCACAGCACCAGCATCAGCACAAGTCACCGCACTAGCCTCGAGCTCACCAAGCTCTGAATCTTCACGACCGCATGGTCCACGTCGAGTTGGCTCACTCCCTCCGCCACCGAGAACGAGCCATCGAGGTGCGTCTCCATCAGCGCAGAGTCACGCAGAGCAGCCTCATCTCCCGCAGCCAGCTCGTCTTCCGTGCCCTCCATGTGCGACTCCTCCTGTGAACCCTCCATCTGCGCTGAGTCTTGCAGGTCCCCACTCTCCTCCAAGCCCTCGCCGCCTTCCTCCTGCTCCAGGGACGCATCTCCTTCCATCGATTCTGACATTCGAAATGTTACACGTTTTGAGACGACAGCGCCGATTAGAAGTACCTCCTCCTCCCTCCTCGCGAGATGACTCAATGTTTGAAAGATCTTGTTCCATTGCCCCTTCCCCACCGTCAGCAGCCCCTTCCTCTGCCATCCCACTCTCTTCCCCTCCTTCCCCTCCTTCCCCTCCTTCCCCGGTCTCAGCATCTTCTCCAGGAGTGTTGTCCCCTTCTACAGGAACCTCTTGGCCCTCGTCTGGCAGGCCTATCACAACACTCAAAACAACGAATGGGAATCACAACAAAGGCATGATGAATGCAAACTCGTCTCAAGTTGTACGAGAGGCGATGCAGCATCAACATCAACAAAGAAGAAACTGATGACGAGCATAGACAGACCTGCCTCTCCCTCCTCGTCTGCATTCTTCACATCCCCCGCTTCTTCGCCTCCCCCAACGTCGTCGGGTTCCCCTTGGGGATCAACCGAGAGATCTCCGGCTCCATTGCCCTCCTCTTGCACCTCCTCCTCCGCTCCAGCCTCTTCTTCTGCCTCTGCTCCACCTTCCTCTATCTTCGCTTCCTCTTCCTCCGCCATCGCCGCTTCCCCTTCTGTCATCGTCGGTTCCTCCTCCGCCATACCAGCCGTTGGACCTTGATTGAGAAGTGCCTTCATCCCCACTCAAACCCTTCAAAACTCATCCCCCTCATTCCACCGCTCACTTTTAGAGTGCCACGGAACGAGCAGGTGAACGAGAGTCTAGTACCGGTGTCTTACCCCCCTGCGTTCAAGGTTCACTACTGATGGTGTCGTCGGAGCAACGGGGCTGTGTGCAGGCTGGGCTTCAGGTTTCAGGTTTAGATTCTTAGCTGCATGCTCGTAGCTAGTGACCAGGCTGGGCCGCGGGCGTTACTCAGTGTCACAAGTTCCCGGGCCGAACTTTGACTATTCTTGATTGAGACCGGCCACGGCGCTTCAAATAACCGTTTTGCAACCGGCGGTCAAATCCATCAGCACTTGCCAGCTTCAGTGAAGCGGCGCCATGCCGTACTCCAAGTACAGTGGGACGGTAAGGCAGCGGAGGAGGGAGAGCGGAGGAGGAAGGGGGGGGTGGGAGGAGAGGCCCTTAGACCTAGGACCCTGACGAGAGGAGGGGAGGGGGGACAAGGAGAAAATGGGAGGTAGGACTGGGCAGTTTGTGACCTTGTTGAAGCTTCAAGGAGGAAGTCTGTTCACAGAGGGCCCCGGGGCACCAGTCGTTCATATCGCAACATACAAGGATGGAGGAGTTGGGGACTTCGAATCTCCTGCGGTCAGAAAGATTGTGGGAGCCTCGACTGGAGGCGAAGTGCATGATCAGTTCAAGAACTACACTCTGCAAGAGTGGTTCTACGAGAAAGCTGTCAGAGCTAAAGACATCGAAGATAGAAAATCGTCAAAACAGAACGTCAACCGAACAAGATTGGTGGATGCTACGAAAGACCTTGTGAGTGCGCTGGTCCTTCCACAGACAAGGCTCACAGTCTTGTGCAGATCAAGTCGGGGGCATCGGAGGTGACGCAAACGATAGGAGCTATCCCCGACCATATCGGATCATGGCTTGGCGGCGTCTCGAGCATCATCGAAGAGATTGCAGCTGCCGGCCAGAAGAAGTCAGTGCTGAACGAAGAGCAACTCCAAACATTGCGGCTCACCAGACAATACGCAACTAAAGGGGTGGAGGCTTTGATGGAGGGAGAGACGGCGCTGGAGATTGCGAGAAACAAGCAGCGCGACTCACAGATGGTTCAGCAGAAGATCAACAAGATGAAGCTGACCAAGCACGAGAGGTCCTTTGACTTGAGGCTGCCTCGAGCGACACTCACGTCTCACGATGTGCAGCGAAAACAACGAAGCAGGCTCAAAGCTCTCGAAGCTCCCGTCCTCGCTCACCGTTCATGTTCATGGAGCCAAGAACTTGCCGAAGATGGACGCATTCCTGGGAAAGGTGACTTGAAGCTTCTCCCCGACAGCATCATCACTAATGGTATCTATGTAGGTAGATCCCTTTGTTGAGGTCACGGTTATAGACAGCCCTGAATCGCGAAATCTCCCGCAAAAAGATCGAGTAAGAGATATCTCTTTCAAAACTTGTCTCGCGTTCTCTGATGACTTTCTGTCGCAGACGAGTGTCTTGTATTCCAACTTCAATCCAGAATGGAATGGTTTGCAGCTCTCTTTTACTCTGTTCTAGAAGTGATTGTGAGGTCGCGGCAGAATCGTTCGACTTCACCATTCAATCCAATTTGAAGGGCGAGAAGAGGCCAGAGGTAAGTGTGGTTACATTGTCGATTTCAACTCATCAGAAGTCATTCAACAAGATTGTTATCGTCGACGTTTATGAAGCAGAAACGAAGAAGTTAGCTGTTGATATCTCTTTATCACTTTGATTCAAACTGTTCAGGAGTGACAAAGGCATTTTTGACAAGTCAGGCGGTTATCGCTCTTCTTTGCCGCTTGCAGTGTTTGAAGGCTTGATGCAACTCAGGGAATGCCGAGAACATCCTGATTGGAAGAGTTTACATCCCCTTGTCGAGCTTTGTGAGGGCAAAGAAGGTGTAGCTGCCTTTGCAAGTGATCTCCAATATTTGCTGACCGCGCTATCCCCGGCTGCAGGAGAAATGTCTGTTCAGTCTTGAGGTACTGGCGCTGGCAGTCAAGAGGCGGCGGAGAGAGATTGATCGCTCTCTGTGCAGGACTTGAAGAGAGGAGCTGAGAGTGAGCGAGTGATTTACAAAGGCAGCCTGACTCGATCCTTCGACCTCAGAAATGCGGAGAATGGAGAAGTGAGACGAAGCATGAGCTTCTTTGCAAGTGACGTGACCTCTGTCTGCTGTCAGGTCGTCTTCGGCTATTGGTACAACGGCAGCCCGAGCTCTATCAGAGTCTCTCTTTTCTTCATCGATGGTTCACTGTCGGACAAGGACAAACTTCCATCGCAGATCCCCATGGTTGAGATGCCTTCCTGACGACTCGTCTCGATCAAGACTGACGATCGGATCAAGGAAATGCCCGACAGAGAGTTCCTGGAGCCCAAGGCCCGACCTCCTCCCACCTGGCAGGACCATCCTGTCATTCTCGAGCAGCTGAAGGCCAAACTCAAGGCAGGTCAGCTGGTCTCTTTGCCGCTCCTCTCATCCTCCTTCAGACCCAGATGATGGAGAAGAGCGCTCCTCCTCTCCGCAAGTTTTTTGTGAGGAATAGCTCCGAGCAAGACAGCATTTACGTCACTCTCATCAGATACGGGATGACAAATTTCTCCTACGAGGTCTCTTGTTTCTTCTCGCCCCCCCTCCCCCCCCTCTCTCCCCCCCCTCTCTCCCTCTCCCTCTCCCTCTCCCTCTCCCTCTCCCTCTCCCTCTCCCTCTCCCTCTCCCTCTCCTTCATTCACTCTGTTTCTCATCCCTTTCTTTACTGCCGGACCAGCTCGAAAATGCTGGGCTGTCAGAAGTCGAACCGCTCTTCCGCGAGAAGGAGCTAAATAGCATGTACGACCTGCTCATGCGGTTTCCTCCTGCCCCGACGGAGAAGGAGAGGGACGACATCTACGTGCTCGGGTCCTCCTCGCCTCCTCTCGCTCCCTCCCTCCTCATGTCTTCCCTCCAGTCTCGAGAAGGCCAGCCTCCTCCGCAAGCTCCGAGATTTCCGTCTCCGAGCCATTCAGCTGGTCTTGAGCTGCCGTGAGGGGCAGGGGGGTGAAGCAGCTGCCGCAGGTGACCAAGAGCTCGACGATCCATCGCGAGCTAGACATCAGGGAGAGAATGGGAGTGACTTACATCTTCTCCTCCGGCTCCACCTTGCAGGTCCAGGATGCCATCCATCAACACCCCTCACTCTCCTCCTCTTCCTCTCTTATCTCCCCTTCGCTGTCTTTTCGTCTCTCTCCCTGTCTCTTCCTCCTCCCGCTCGCACAGGTTGCTGATACCTCGTTCTTACCTTCTCTTTCCTATCCTTCAGGATCTTCTCGACAAGATCCCGGACAACTGTGCTTTGAAGGCAAATCATGATGCACCTTTCACGTATCGCTGACCCTTTTCCTTCCTCCTCCCAGATGCCGGACAGGCTCAAGGCAAACAAGGGTGAGAAAGCAACTGTTGCTGCTGCTGCTGCTGCTGCTGCTGCTGCTCGTCGTCATTCCTTCCTCCTCCTTCTCCTCCTCCTCCTGCTTGTTTTTCAGTCTTGTCCTCGTCCTCGTCCTCGTCCTCGTCCTGCTTCTCTTTCCTTCCTTGTCCTCCTCCATCTCATCTTCGCTTGTAGACTCTCCAGCCCCTCCGTTCATCGGGAAAGACGCGGATGCCGGGGAGCGAGGGCTCACGCTAGAGCAATGCGGTTCCTCTTGTTCTGTGTGTGCCATGGAGTCGGCTGACCGAGAGCGTCTAGGCATCGAGCATGGTGACCTCATCGCGTTTTACAAGGCAGCCAACCAGAGGAGGGGATCAGGAGATTGACTCTCGTCCCGCAGGTCTTGCGGAGCTCGTGAAGATCCGTCAGTCTGCTTTCCCTCTCTACCTCCTCCATCTCCCTCCCTCCCCTCCCCCACCTCCTCGTCAACTCCGCCTGCTCTCCCTCTTGTATGTTCCTCCTCGTCCTTCCTCCATGACAAGACACATGTAAAGCTTCGTCTCAACCCTCAAATAGTGCCTGCGGACATTTTCTTCTCTCCTCCTCCCGCGCCAGATGCTCGAGTGTCTCCATCGAGATCGTTGTGTTGAACTCTCCAAACTCTCGAATCTCCGCCTGTACCCAACTCTACAAGCCAGTGAGAAGGAGGAGGCGTTCGTGGTGGTGGAGGAAGGAAGGGAGGGGAGGAGCATGGCACATACCTCAGTCGCTCCCTTCCTCGTCGCCTGGATGTTAAGCAGCATGTCGTTCCAGTTGGTTGAGAGAGCATCGAGGTAGAGCCGATTGACCGAACAGGAGGGCTCCAACCTCCAGCTCCTCTTCAGCTCCTCTGCCAGGTCTCGCCGCAGGAAGATCGCGTTCTGAGTGAAGCAGACGAGCTCGTACCCCAGCTGCTCCCCCAGCTGCTGGAAGACTTTGAGCGACTGCTGCAGATTGTGCGACGAGGCTTCGACGTCAAGCTTGCTGCTCAAGTCGGGGCGGATGAAGCCGTTGGTCTCGACTATGATGAGGGAGGGACGGAACTCGGGCTGGTGCTCAAGGGAGAGCAGCAGCTCGTAGTCCAGCCCGTCCACGTCGATAGAGAGGATGTCAACCTTCCCGTCCTCCGCGAGCTCCTCCGCCAGGTGGAGGATTGAGTTGTTTCCCTTCGCCTCCACCATGGCGTTCTTGAGGGCAACTCGAGGGAGATTGCGGTAGTTGCGCTGAAGCGCTCGAAACTTTGTTTCATCCGCCTCGATCATGATCCCGCTCCATCCTTTCTCGAACCAATAGCGGCAGTTGCTAGCGAAGATCCCGTCCCAGGCCCCGAACTCGAAGCAGGACCCCTCCTTCACCCCCAGCGCCTCCATGATGAACTCTGTGATCCCGTCCTCCCCGGCTTCTGAGTACACGTTTCTCCGGTACCTGAGGAGAGAGGAAGGGTGCAGACGTCGATTGCCACTAGCCAACGCGCTCTCGAACAGTTTGAGGCGGCTTGTGCGGTAGATGTTGAAGTTGGGAGGGCAGTCGTCCGCCAGGTAGCCGTTAGGGGTGTGGAATGACATCATCGATCGAGGAGCACAGCCGATGGTCATCCCAGATGCGTTGTAGTCCATCAGAATGTTGGCATAGAGATCACTTTCATACGACATGAATGCAAACAGCAACTTGCTGCCTTCATCGGTCGTATCAACTGACTCTTCATACATCTTGCTCCACATGTCCCCGTTGAGGATCGAAATTCTCTGAGTGCCGACCAAGAATCCATGGTATCCAACGCCTGGGAGGGAAGAGACAAGAAAAAGTCATGAAATCTTTGACCTCATCTCATGCTTAGAACCTGCTAGGCGATCCACCAGCGTCTTCAGCTCGGGTTTTTCCCTGAGAGAGAATGAGAAAACACTTGCAGCCCCTCTTACACTTCACCGTCCGGCATGGAGTGAGATCAGGAGAACCTGACAAGGAGATCAGCTGCTGCATCTATCTCAGTCTTCTCATGAACCGGCTTGATGGCTGGAAGCCATGACATGTCGTCGGGCTCAAACATTTCCTGGAAATTGACCTCGTCGCCCTCAACATCAATGATGAACAACTTCCCATCGTCATGATCACTCAACAGAAGTTGTTTCAGCTGAGTAGAAAAGAATCAGTCCAACAAGAACGTTCTCCCTGATCTCACCTGAGAGATGTCTTGCAGGGCCCTAAAACCAATCGGGTTGGAGGCAACTGGGCACATCAAACCTGTATGAGGCTCACATGACAGGCACATCTTGAGCAGGAGGAAAGAGCGTACAGACAGTGTGATAGCTGAGAGCAGGAAGAGAAAACTTCGAGTGAGCTTGAGAGAGATCTGAGCCTTCACTCCGTATCATCCAGACGAGCGGGTCGAGATCCGAACTGAAGGTCAGCAACTTTTGCAGAATGTTGCGAGGCAGATTTCTATCAAGAAACTCTTCAGTCATGTCCTGAAAATAAGTGACAGTCTCCAATGGCCCAGGAAATGCTGGACGTACGATCATATCAACGAGAGGACGAGCGGAAGAAGGAGACGGTACCTTGACTTCCTACAAGACCTCGGCAGTCGTTGGAGAGCATATTGGATTCCCAGTCGTGGATAGAGACGCAAACGTTCTGAAAGCCCATCTCTATGCCTATCAAGGTGAAAGCGAACCTCGACTCGATCGGTTTGCCCGTCATGTCACAATCCTGCATTGGAGTCAAATCGACTCTCCTCTGTGAGTATCAACAGCGCTACCTGAAGATCATAGACGATGCCTGGGCAGAGGAAGAGCTTGCTATCGAGGAACTCGACCATCATGTAGCCATCACTTGGAACCACGAAGTTCTTCAGCTCCACGACCACGTCCGATGCCAGTGACCCTCCCTGTATCACCTCAACAAAATCCTGCGCAGATGTCACAACTTCCAGCGTCGTTCATGGGAAACTCTCACCCTGGTTGAAGGTCGGAGAAGCCTGATGCTTCGCTCCACTGCTCCTCCTCCTCCTTCTCCGTCTCCTCCTGCTCCTCCCGCTCCTCCTGCTCCCATCGCCAGCAACACCGTGATTCCCAACAGCCAACGCGCCATTGGTCCCATCGCCTGACCACCGGCTTTACCCCACCCCCTCATTGACTAGCCACCACCCCTTCAGATGAGGTTGCAGTCCTGGATCCAGTCCCCCCGACAAGTTGCCTCATACTCTGGGGCAGGAATGGCAGAACGAGGGTGAAGAGCGCGAGACAGGAGAGGTGGGGGAGGGGGAGGAGAAGGAGGAGGAAGAGAAGGAGGAGAAGGAGGGGGATCAGAAGGAGGAGGAAGAGGTTGACGTGACGTTGAGGATGATGACTGGAGGAAGGAAAGAAGAGGAAGGACTGCAAAGAAGATGATGAGTTAAGGGAGCAGGTATAATCTGGCATCTAAAGAAGCGTGTTTGAGGATGTGGAAGAGGAGGAGTCCAATGACCTTCATCATCCCAGAGATGAAATCTTCGGAGCTCCTTCATTCCAGTCCAAATCGATGACAAAAAGCGACACAGTGATGGCTGGTAGTTCTTGTTTGTATATCGCTTTATGCAATGCACTCATCGCTGCCGTGTGCTGTGACTCCCCGTCAGGTGAAGACTGTGTTGTAAGTTGCTTGCTGTAAAGAGAACTACTTTGCAGTCACGATATCGAGGCCGAAGCAAACAGAAAGACTCAATTCCAAGAAAGTAGATTTCGAGGTGAATGTGGCAGGGCTGCAGTTACCATCAGGTGAGTAGGCTGCTACTCGTGTGCATGTAAGGTCTGATCATATCGACCCGCAGATGGCATGGCCCAGCTTTACATCAATGACGTGCTTGCCCTCAACATCACGCAGAACCGAGTTGTAGTTGCTGCCCCGTTGGAGAGTGGTTTCCACAAGGTGGCTGCTGCTGTCAAGTTTCCTTCCGATGAAGTTGAGACGACAGGCTCACGCTGTTCTCAACGACACATCTGGAAACTTGATCTCAAGAAGTCAAGACATCCATTTCCTCGTCGACGTCTCTGATGTGATAGAATCGACAGCAGAACGTTTGTTTGCAGCATCATCGTCCATCTACGTTGACATCTGTTCTCAACTGAAGGAATCTCCTTTCTGCCCAAGGAACCGGGAAGGGTGTCAGTGATCATCGCGTCGCACGATCGGTCAGAGTCTTGAAGTTTGTCATAGGATTGACGTTGTCTGTAGGTTTGAAATGCTAATGGACAGCATTGAATCCGTCAGGAGGCAAACTTACGAAGATTGGGAGATTATTGTGGTGAGCAGGAGATTGCAAACTATTACAGCACGCAGGTCTGACCAACCAGAGCAGGTCAACGACGCGTCCACAGACCCTCGTTACTACACCTTGATAGAAGACGTTACGATGATTCATCGTAGATTGTCAAAGTTTCTCTTGGAACGTTGGCTGAAGACTTTGTCAGTCCCTTACAACATTGGGAGGCCCGGACTTGTTCGCAATGTGGGGATTTCAGCAGCCTCCGGTAGCCATGAAGCTTTTTCCACCATCAGTGCGCTCATGAGCTGTTGCAGGAGAGTACGTAGCCTTTCTGGACGATGATGATGTTTGGTTGCCCAACAAGCTACAGCGGCAGGTAGGAGGGAAGATGATGGGCAGCTTCGATGGGTAGCTGACGGACCTCAGCTGGAGGTGATGGAGCAGCGGGGAGTCAACATGTCATGCTCGGATGCTGTAAGATGTCTCAGGTATCGATGACGCATGACCTTGTGAAGTTGGCGGGGAACGGATCGTTCGTACAAGGCAAGGAGTACCAGAGGTGTCCGGACTCGCTCGCTGCCGTCAGCTCACTCGTAGCTCAGGTGGCTGCGGGATGCGCATGGCCCTTACGCAGTGAGGATGGTAATGGAGGGGGCAAGACACTTCGGTTAGACCCTCGGCTCCTCAACTTCTCTGACGGGGGAGCAGGAGAGATGTACGACATGGAGAGGGCAGTTCGAGAAGGCCATTGTTTCCATGTGGAGCACTGCCTCCCAGGCAAGAGTCCGCCCTGCTGTCTTACCATGGAGCTGATAGGGGGGCAGATGTGTGGGATTGGTATCTGCTGGTGAGAGCTAACTTTGTGATCACGACATCGGTGAGGCTGGGGATGTACCCATACCTCATCTCACTTTTTGCTGGAGTTCCTGGCCAAGCGCGACCTCTTGTTTGCAGCAGGTCCTTTCAACAACAAGACGCTAGGTAAGAATAGACTATAGCCCTGCCGCAGGTGACAGGCCGCCAGGGGAGGATCATGATCTATGGAAGAATTGCTTGCGGCTCTCGAGGCTGGCGTTCGTACGGGAGCCTCTGGTCTACTGGAGGATCGACAGCCCCGACAAGCTCACTCAGAGCTGGAAAGATTAGCCCGACTCCCGGTTATTGACGGTTACTCAGTAGTATTTCCGAACTCGGTAGTTCCGGTCAAACTGGCCCGGCGCGGGCCCGGCGACATGATCCGAACTTCGATGGAGAGAGTGACGTTGGAGGCGAGCACGGAGTGAGGGGGTGGTATACAAGTGCTTAAGGGGGGTGGGGTCATGTGAAAGGTACAGGTGTACTCAAAGCAATGGCGCGGGTGCAGGAAGTGACGGGCAGCGCGACTGAGGAGGCGATGGCACGTGTGATGGAGTGGGTAGGAGGCAAGGATATCGGGAGAATGGCAGCCTGCTCTACGTCGATGAGAGAGCACGCGAGCAGAGAAGAGCTATGGCAGACTCTGTGTCGAAGAGACTTCGGTATCCTCCATCCAGCCGACAGATGCGGATGGCGAGACACGTACAAGACGGGCTGCTCAGACTCAATCCTTTACTTTAACGGTCATCCGGACTATGTAGAATATATTGGATGGAGAAACGTAGAAGTCGTTGACGACATGAAGAAGTTTAGCGCCGACGAAGTGAACTCTCTCCGGCGTATGCATGAGATTCGAACATGAATCTACTCCTGTCTTCTTCCTTGTTGCTGCATGCATTGTCATCCCATGCGCATGTATTAAAGCCTTGACTGTCTTTGACCATTCCTGCTCCTCATTGGTTGCCATGCTTGTCGTCGACGCTCTTCAAGTCGACTCTACTCCTCCCTTCTCTTTGTGAGCCCCTTCATGACTGTCTCCATCATCACCCTGACTTGAGTGAGAATGGGGATCAGCAGAAATGTGACTTCACCTTTCCTCCTTGAACAGGCAGAGAAACAGAGTCAGATCCCTCCTGCTCAGCAAGTCAACCCCGCTTGTATCGCGACCATGAATAACCTCGGTGCCCTCAGCGTCCAACATGATGGAACGCATGCGATCCTCAAGAGTCTTCAACGCACGAGCCCTGCAGCTTGTCTGTCAGGCATGATCTCGAGCATGACGTCCTTTCAGTGGACGCACTGTAGGCGTTCATTGTGTTTCTTACCTCCTCCTCTCTGCGTCAGCTACGTTTGACCCAGGAAGCGGAGGAGCTGGGACGTTGACAGGTGGAGCTCCTGCAGCCATCGCACCATCCCAAGCACCTCTGAGAACTCCTGCGAGCAGCAAACTTGAGCTGGGAGGAAGTGACAAGGGCAAAAGACCTGGCGGCAACGCCTGTCGGAGCTCCGACGATCGTGCTGGGATATCGTCGAGCATTGACTGTACGCTCTTTCCACAGACCATCTTGAAGGCTGAGGAGGAAACGACTTGCATCAAAGGGCTGCCAGTGCATCAAGTATAAGTGGTAGGGCTTCAAATTTTCAAGAGCTTCACCGTAGAGCGACCGGGAAAAACATGATGAAGGCCATATGATCGCTCATATCGCCTCTCATGCCATCGATGGTGCGCTGAAGGAATCGCAGATACAACCAACCGAAATATGTCCCACAACAGCATTGCAGAAAAACCTGCTCGGAACCATCAAGGTGCTAGAGCTAGCGGAAGAGGAAATGCTCACCGGTGCCAACTCAAGTATAGAAAGGATGGCGGAGAAGCAGATCAAGACACCTTGGGTCAGCTTATCAGCTTCCTTGCATCGCAACGGTATCAAGGAGTTGCCTGGGATATCTTTGGCACAAAAATTCATGAATGGCTGTCCAAAGAGGATGATGGGTTCCTACGAGACATGGGTCAGTGACGTCATCGTGCACTCGCTTTCACTCACCTCAGGAAGTTTCTGCTTGATAGTCACGATGAGTGCAGCGATGATTCCGATTCCGCCAGAGATAGGCATTTCAAGGAATTTGTAGTTGAATGAAGCCATGTAGTACACGATTTGTGAGATGAACACACTCAGCCCAACACACAGGTTCGAAAAAAAAATATATTTGACGAACTCAGCTGAACCCCAGGAGGGCACGAGCCAACGACCCATGATGAGGAAAGTGAGCGCGAGCAAGATAGCCTAAGCAGAAGTGAGAGTGAGAACTCAAAGAGAGGAAAGCAAATAGAGCATCACCAGAACGATGTTCGTATTGAAGAATCCAGCGGTGAACACATTCCAAATGTAAGAGTGTGCACCATACGTGTTAGTGGCTTTGATAGCGAGTATACTTTCAAGCGAGGGAACAAGTTGAGCCAACACGTATAGAAGCAGAGTCAAACCAGCAAAAAACTGAAAGCAAAGAGTGTTATTAAAGGAGAAGATTGCAATTCAGAACGGCCTTACTTTTGAAACGGAGGGAGCACTGAGCAATGCGGAGTACACCTCAGCTGAAGTGGCAGGCACTATGGGTGAATGGTCCATCTTAAGACACCACGCCTACTTCAGTGGCTAGCTGCTGTTGAGACAAGACTTGAGCTGCAATCAGCAGCTGAGCTTCACAGTGATGCCAATATCAAAGATGGTCTGATGATCAATTCACGGTGGTTGTTGGTAAACCTGCGAAAGAGCCAAGAAATGTTAGCAATTCAATCATTCCAACACCCGTTCGTCCATGAAGATCTGCACCACATACTACACATGCTCTAAATGCAGCTGTCAGCAATATAAGCTCCGGGTATGGGACCGGACTCAGCGGACCCACCCATGTCGAATCCTTTGTTCTAACTGTGTCGATCGCAAACAAACTTGGATTCTCGTCATCGAGTCCTCCTGCTTTGATCTTGGTCTTCACTACACGTCTTTGATCTTGGTCTTCACTACACGTCTTTGATCTCGGTCTTCACTACACGTCTTTGATCTTGGTCTTCACTACACGTCTTTGATCTCGGTCTTCACTACACGTCTTTGATCTTGGTCTTCACTACACGTCATTGATCTTGGTCGTCACTACACGTCATTGATCTTGGTCTTCACTACACGTCTTTGATCTTGGTCTTCACTACACGTCTTGGTCTCGCTGCTCGTCTTCCTTCTATTCGCACTCTCCCTCCATTCTCCCCTCCCTCAAGCCCTTCAGTCCCCGCGCCCTGGAAAGTTGCCGCATCGTCTGTCGGTCCGTTGGATACAGTTACATTCCACAACGTATGCGTAACCGTATTTGATCCTGAAGCAGGTGGAGGCGGCGATGGGCGAGCAACCAGGTTGTGGAAGAGGAGGAGGAGGAGGAGGAGGAGGAAGAGGAGGAGTATGAGGATGTGGTTAGAGCAACGTGATGGAGGGAAGTACATCGACGGTTAACGAGCAGCCAAAAACGATGCACTGAGAGCTGATTGTGATGGAAGAAAGGCGAGCAACGAACTTCAGGGTGTTGGACTTCGCAAGACGCAGGATGATGCTATGAGATTAGAGGAGACCAGCTGCTGATATTCCGAAAATCACGGTACAGGCAAGATCGACAAGGTTAAGGTGAAGAAGATCGAGCAGACTGTTCAACACGAGTAGGCGGTGATACTAGAGTCGTGTCGGAGAGCAGAGGAGGTTTCAAAGTGTAGTAGAAAAGATGCTGCCAAGCATGGGCAGGCCCTCGAAGAAGGGTTCCAAGTTCAGAGGAAAGCGATCTTCAAGGTAATTTACATATTCGGAAGGCTTTCTCTCTTCCTATCTCTTGTTGTGACTTGCGCACACAGGTTGTACGTGCGGTTCGCTGTCTTCCTGCTCGTTCTGGCTTCACCATGGGCTTTCCTTCACTTTCGTCACGGTCGTCCATCGAACTCAGGTGGAGGAGCAGGAGATGTGAAAGGTCAGCCCAGCAAGCAAGCTCTCCTCCTCCAGCACAGCAACACCACCTGGGCTGAGAAAGGATTGACGTCTCACCGAACATCTGAATGGATCACCCGGACTGTGCGAGACACTTTGAGCAGCATCAAAGGTTGGTCAGAGGCTTGTCTCCTCTTTCTTCATGCATGTGCAGGTTTCCATGTGAACTCAGACGATCAAGAATCAGAGTGGAATGCTGGAGAAATTTCCTTCCATGTTGCCAGCAACAACTGCGATTCGGTCTGCCAGTCTGCAGGGAAGGTTTGTGCTCGAGACTGGTTTGTCTTCTTGGATAGGTCGCAGCAGCTCACATGTGAATCTTCACGCCTTCCTGATGGATGTCTACTTTGTTCAGGTGTGACATTGCCAAGAAAGTTTTCCCCGAGGGCACATGCAGCTTTGCTTTCTATCCAGGTTCGCAGCACTTATCAATTGAAGCTCTTGTGACGTACCTTATTGCGCAGACATGCCATTCTATGATAAGACCACAAAAGAGATCTTTGTCAGCAAAGACACCAAGCTTGACCCCCCGACGTGCGATGCTGCTCCCTTGGGCGGTCGAAGTGCAGAGCGATTGTGTCCTTGTGTTCCAACGTCCCATGCGAGAGCGGCAGCAGAAGTCAAGGCAGAGAAGAATGTCTTGGAAATTATGAAAAAGATCATCACTGAACAGGTTGAGCCCTGACTGAAGATCTGAAAGACAAGTGTAGCCGCTGATTTTTCCTGTCAGAACGCCCAAGAAAGGTTGGAGCGGTCACGAGGGGTCACCAATGGCATTGAGCTCGATGTTTACGGCAAACAAGTAAGAGCTGTTGCGCTTCAGTGACAAGTGAGTTTTTTCGCGTCAGGTCTCCTCGTCCTTGCTCAATGATCTTCAGTACGGAAGGTGGGAGGAGGAGGAAGAGACGGAGGGGAGAGGGAGAGGAAGAGGGAGGAGGTGCAAGAAGCTTATGGGGAGTTTTCACGTGACAGGGTCTCGTTTCTCAAGAGTAAGATGGGAGACACGTGTGAAATGACTTGCAAGGCCTCGTCTCTTAAGTGCTCCAGTCGCTGGTCACTTTCCCCTCATGCCCGGATGGAGATCTGAACGTGCTGGGACCGCAGGTTCCGGTACCTCAACAAATGTGAGGTCCTCCTGGCCGCATGGCCGCAGAAAAGCAATGGAGAATACTTCAAGAACTGCGGCAACCAGTGATGCTGATGGTTCTACAGGAATTTAGCAACTGATGCTTGTCGACAGGTTCTACGGTCACGACCTGCCCGGCCTCCAGGAGGAGATGCAGCTTCTGCTCCTCAACAATGACATCAACGGGTTCCCGACGAATTGTGGAGGACGAGGAGACCGTACGTCGAGGATTTGCCCTTGCAGCTACAAGTAGGAGGAGGGGAGAGTGACGGGGGGAGGGAGGGTCATGACTTGGTTCGATCAGATACCCCAACACCAAGTCGACCTATCACACAGTTTTCAATGTCCAGAGCAAGCAATATTTTGAGTGGCAGTCCAGATACAACGTCTTCTGGCACAAGCAGGTTCCCTGCCTATTCTTTCCCCTAGTTTGGAATCACTTCCTACTCCTTTTCTCCTCTCCCCTCCCCTCCACGCACATGCCAGAGACCTGGCTTGTCCTTCTTGTCCTCTCCTCCTCCCCCTCACCTATCTTCTGCTAACATTTCACCAGGTTGGACAACCCGGAAAGATCACCCGCCTGCTCTCCATGGGTGGCGCTTGGCCAACAGATGGGAATCCACATCCTGTAGGCGATCATCTTATGAAGGAGGTCAGCCAGAGCATTCTTGTCGTCTTCCTCCCTCTTCCTCCTCCTCCTCCTCCTCCTCCTCCTCCTCTCCCTTTTCCTTCTCCTGTTTCTCCTCCTCCTATGCAATCTCTTCCTCATCTCGTTCTTCTTGGTTTTCACCATGTTCTTCATTGATGCTCAATCTATCAGGTCCCAACGCACATCGCTCCTCAGTACGACTACAGGATAGACAGTTACGTTGCTTATAACAAGCCTCTTTCCATCACTCACTGGCTGCAGACAACAGAGGTTGACTCTCCTCGTCCTCGTCCTCCTCCACCTCCTGCTCCACCTCCTCCAAACTCTCTGCCTCTCTTGTTCTCCTCCTCCCATGTTGAAACTTCTCTTGATGCTTTCTTTCTCCGTTGGGTCTCATATTTGTGCATCTCTTCTCCTCTTTGCCTTCGATTTGTTCACACAGACAGCAGGTGAAAGAAGACATCATCATAATAATCGACCCAGATTGCGCCTATATTAACAAAATGGACATTCAAGTTGATGAGGGAGCTCCGGTTTCCACTCAGGTGAAGAAACTTTGACGATTGTTACGGTGGATATCAGCATTTGCTTATGGTCATTCTCATTTCATCTTGTTTGCACCTCTACACTCCTCACCTTATCTCTTCCCTTTACTTGTGGTCCTTGCTTTCTTGTTTTCATTCGTATCTTGTAGGGATATTACAGCTTCAAAGACGAGAACAGCATCGAGATGCAGATCGCGAAACATTATTGCAAGGTAAGGAAGGAGCGAGCGAAGGCGAGGGAGGGGCGAGCGGCGAGGGACGAAGGGAGCGAAGGGGAGGAAGGGGGCGTATCGATTCAGTGATCGAGATACGGGAAGAGGAGCAGGCGGTGGTGGAATAGGAAGGACGGAAGTGGAGGATTTCACGGTGATGAGAAGGGGGAAGGAGGAGGAGGAGGAGGAGGAGGAGGAAGAGGAGAAGGAGGAGGAGAAGGAGAGGGTAAAAGGGGAGAAGGAGATCAGGAGCAGGGAGGAGAAGAAGTTGAGATTTTGTGCAGGGCATCTGCAAACATTATGATCCGATCGCTGTTCCTGTTGTTATCCACAAGAACGACCTTGCAAGATTGGCTCCCCTGTGGCTCACTTACACAGAAGCAATCAGAAAGGACAGGCATGTCTTCCTTCTGCTCATCCTCCTCCTTCTCCTCCTCCTCGCTTCTTCTTCCTTCACTGCTCCCTCCACCTCGAGCGCCTCTTCCCTTCTCCTGCCTCTCTCCTCCCCTCCTCCTCTCCTCCTCTCCTCCTCTCCTCCTCTCCTCCTCCCCTTCTTGTGCATTCTCTGTCAACTCGATGTCCCTTGCTCTCACTTGAAGGGGAGCAGGGAGGGGCCCAACAAGTGGCCGATAGAGTGGAACGACAATCGTTTCACCGTCAACCGCATCGAGTGGGTTGCTGAGATGTTCGGCTACGTCCTCGCCGCTGCTCACCTGGACCTCCGTCACGAGATTATGGACCTCCAGCTCGTTCCCTCCGTGCACAAGTGATCTCCTCCGCCGCCGCCGCCTCCTCCTCCTCCTCCGCCGCCGCCGCCTCCTCCTCCTCACTTCTCCTCCTCCTCCTCCTCACTTGTCCTCATCACGTCTCCTCCTCCTCCTCCTCACGTCTCCTCCTCGTCCTCCTCACGTCTCCTCGTCCTCCTCCTCCTTGTTTCCTCTCCTCTCCTCATCTTCCAACCTCATCCTCCGTCCTCCTCGACCGTGATGCTCACCCTCCTCCTCCTGTCAACTCCGTTGATCTCTCTCCTCTCCTCTGATCCATCAACAGGAAGCTCACCCCGGGCGTTCCTTTCCTTCACTTCCACGTGAGGATCGAGACGGCCGATCATCAGACGTGGAGCAAGGGCGTCGACCATGCGGGGCAGAAGTTTCCTTGGCCGGTCCGCTGCCCTTCCCAGCTGCCTTCCAGCTGACCTGCTTCAGGTGGCGGAGGGTACGGATGAAGTGACCACGCGGCTATTGCACGCACTGCACGATGCGTACGAAGCGGTGAGAGGAGGGAGGCAGTGGAAGAGGGAGGGAGGGAAGGGAATGAGGGAAGGGGAGGGAGCAGGGGAGGAGGGGGAGCAGGGGGAGGAGGAAGGGGAATGAGGGGGGGGGGAAGGGGAAGGGAAGGAGGGGTTGACAGGAGGAGACATGTTATGACATTCGGGCGCAACAGCTTGGGGAGACGAAGAGGATGAAGGAGAACAAGTGGGACAACTACTTCAGCGAGTGGGCGAATCCTTCCAACGAGGTCGAACGAAGGCGTCTCCTCTCCCTCCACTCCGTCTCCTCCTCCCTTCCCTCCAACTTCACTATTCTTTGAGTGTTCGTGCCCAAGGTGTAAACTTGATGTGCATTTATTCCCTCCTCCACCAGCTGCACTAGTTAGCTGAGGAGCAGCTCGGGTTCAGCCGGAGCTGCCGATCTTGAAGCGACCTGACTTATCCTCGATCGGCTCCCCTTCCGCATTCAGCGCGAGAGGAGCGATCCTCAGGTTGATAGTCTTGTCCTGCTTCCCCATGCCCTCCACTCTTCCTCCTCTCTTCCCGTCCTTCTCCTCCACCTCGGATGAAGCAGCTTGAGAGAAGATTTCGCCCTGTAGGAGCATCAGGGGCATGCCGCTCCCTCCCACCCTCCTCCTCCTCCTCCTCCTCCTCCTCCTACCGTCACAAAAGCGTTTGCATGCTCAAGGTCCATAATGTCCTCGTACAAGACTGTTTCAGCTGAGGCCTGCGGGTCCCATCAGCTCTTCCTCCTCCTCCTCCTCCTCCTCACCAGCTGGTATTGCTCCGGTGACGTCTGCCCCTTCCCCTTGGCGAAGATTCCGTTCCTATCCTGCTCGCTCACCGTCATCTCCATCACCTCCTAGCAGCGGGTGGGGACCAGGACGGAGACGGTGCCGTTCAAGTAGTGGATCCTCCACCTGACGTGCTTGAGCCACATGCTTTCCTCCTGCCCGTTGTTGATCTGAACATCCAGGCAGAAGCGAAACATTTTCCTCTTCCCCACGTCCAGGGCCATCTGAACTCAGGCGAGTGAGGGAGGGAGAGAGAGGAAACGATCGGGGTTACTTCTTCGAGGAAGTAGCTCGTCACCCCAACGATGACCTGCGGGAAACTATCATCCCCCTTCTCCTCCATTCTCCTCCTCCACCACCATCCTCCTCTTCCTTACCCCCCGACTCTCTCGTTCCTTCCTCCCCCCCCCCCCTCCCCTCTTCCTTCCTCCTCAATCCTCCCCTTCCCCCCTCGCAACCTTGTCTGTAATCCACACGCTCGTCAAGGGAACCATGTTACCGCCAGCAATCTTTCCGCAGGGCACCTGCAGGCGGGAGAGAAAATGAGGAGAGCACGGGAGGAGAGAAAGACAAGAAGCCCAGGCGGACAACATGAAGAATGTTGAGGAGAAAGGAGATAGAGGAAAAGGCAAGGAGGAAACAATGAGCAAATAATGTCATTCAACTACCTTGACAATCTCGTTTTCCTGGGATAATGCAAGTCTGCCGACAAATGCATTGAACATGATGGGATTACTCTGGAACAATCGCATCAAACGGAGAAAACATCACCATCACCAACACCAACACCAACACCATATGACAATTATCGTCTTGTCATCGTCGTCGTCGTCGTCGTCGTCTTCATCATCATCATCATCATCATCATCATCATCATCATCATCATCATCATCATCATCATGTTCTTCATTATGCAATCATTACAGGTTCAACGCCAGTCTCATGCCGAATGACTTGAAACCTGAGAAATCGTCACTCTCTGACTTCTTCACTACGGAACTTCGTCAGCAGACTCACTGGAACGATCCGTACATCGAGCCTTGTCTTGTCTGTTGGGTCATAAGAGATTTGCCGTCAGTCCACAGCAAACTCCTTGTCGTCAATTACGAGGATCGGAGTTCGGCTCTCGTACTTGAAAACTTTCCCCGGTGACAACTTGGGTGTCAGACCGCGCGCCCCTATCAAGGGCGTCAAGTACAAGGAGGAGGAGGAGGAGGAGGAGGAGGAGGAGGAGGAGGAGGAGGAGGAGGAGGAGGAGGAGGAGGAGGAGGAGGAGGAGGAGGAGGAGCTGGTGGTTGATCTACAGGAGCAGCAAAAAGGAAAATGTTCAGGAGGGACGGGAGCAGGAGCAGGAGGGAGGAGGGAGGCGAGGAGCAGGAGGGAGGAGGGAGGCGAGGAGCAGGAGGGAGGAGGGAGGCGAGGAGCAGGAGGGAGGAGGGAGGCGAGGAGCAGGAGGGAGGAGGGAGAGAGGAAAGAGGACCTGGCCCTTTGACTTCTGTTGTCTTGCCATTCGAATCAACAAACACCCAATGCCTGCAGATCACATCAGCCCAAGCTTCTCCTCTTCACTGCAAGTTCCTCGACAGAAGCTGAACCCTCTGGCTTCCCACGTTCTTGAACTCGATGCTGCGAGTCGGGTCAGGAGCAGTGGGAGGGGAGCAGGAGGAGGGACCGATAGATCCACCAGTGCTCGTCGTCGAAGAAACCATGATAGAAGCTCTCTGCAAAGATTCGGATGCCGTTGGTTGTGACGGAGCTGTACGCCTACGAGCGAGTGAGAGGAGCGAGGAAGACGCGGCAGGCTCACTGGAATCTCGTCCTCGCACTTGAGCACCTTCTCCTCCATCCCGTCGAACTCGCTCGCCTGTCTCACTTCGTCCGGCTGTGTCTGCCTGCTCCGGTCCGAGACAACCACCACCGACGCTGAGGCTGAGCAAGGTAGATGAGCAGCAGTAAGCAGGAAGAGGTAAGTCAATTGAGCAGGAGGAGGCAGGAAGAGGTAGACCAACTGAGCAGCAGCAGGCAGGCACAGCGGTCTTACAAGGAACCATCATACGCATCAACAGCCTCCTGCAGAGCCCCAGCACGTCGCTCCCCTTGTCCGTTGACCTTGCCATGCGTCAAACCTTCGTCTCCCTTCCCCTTCCCTCACTTCATGATGTGGGTCGTCACAGCAAATAACGCGACCAGAACCGCCAGCTGCAGTGCGTCCTTCATCGCCATGCTGCTCCTCTCAGTCCGGTCCTCGCACGGACAAGCCTCCTCGTCGTTTTTCTTGGTCGACGTCTCTTCCTGCTCGTTCCGGGTCGCCAGGGATCTTCTTGCCGCGTGGGTCTCGCTGGTTCGTTTCCTGCGCTTCTTCCTCTTCCTCAACTTCTCCTCCCTAGTCGCTCGACCTCTAACACTTCTCGTGCTCTTTCAAGTGCTGCATCCCTGGCCTCCCCTTCTAAATCCCTCATCTCATCGCGTCCTCGTTCCCTGCTCGTGTCATCCCGTCTCGTCTCCTCTCCTCTCCTCTCCTCTCCTCTCCTCTCCTCTCCTCTCCTCTCCTCTCCTCTCTTCTCCTCACCTTCTCACGCTCCTCTACTCTCCTCGCTCCTCGCTCCTCGGTCACCTCGTATTTCAGCTCCCCCCTGCCATGCTTGTATCTGGCATTTTTCCTGCCTCGATTCGGGGTAAGAGTCTTGTCCTAATTACACGCCTTCTGCCCCCCTGAGCTGTTACCCAGCGCAATGTCCGATGCCGACGACCTGCAGCGA